TCTGTCTCTCTCACTATGACTTTCTCTTTCTCTCTGACTTGCTCTCTCTGACTGACTCTTTTCTCTCTTTCTCCCTCTTTGTCTTCCTCTCTTTGACTCTCGTTCTTTCTTTCTCTCTCTGACTTTTCTCTCTCTCTCTGACTCTTTCTCTTAATGATTTCTGATTTTCTCTCTTTCTCTTGACTCTCTCTCTCTCTCTCTCTCTCTCATTTTGAGCTTGCTGTATAGTTCCAGCTTTTAGAAAAGCCCAGTCATGTTTCATTTGTTCAGTTTATTTAATGCTGCCTGTGATCGTACGTCTTCACAGCAGTCAGTGCAGAACAGTTTCTACGCATTTTTCACATGTCTTGCACATTGAAGAAGCCACTCAAAGAGTCTAGACTGGATGTCATCCAGCAACATCTTAATGAATAGATTTTCCCCCCAGCATGAACTCATTCATCCTCCAGCCTGGAATAGACTTCGCTGTGTCATTTTCATTACTTAGACATCAGAGACAGCCTGCGTCCGCTGTGGTCCAGTATTACACTCAGAAACGCAGTGTGTCCTGTTCATACAGGAGATGTTTTACACAGTCTGGAGGACTTACTTTAAAAAGGTAGACAAAACTGAATCGTCCTTTTGTCTGGACATGTGAGCATTTAATGAATGCACAGACAATAGTTCTGATTAATAGTACAGAAGACACACACACACACACACACACACACATATGCCCCCCCCCACACACAAAAATGATAGTAAAAACACAAGACCTCTTTGTAAATGTAAAGCATAATTGCATACAGTAAACGAATATGGTTATAATAGTAGTATTATTAATAATAATAATCATAAGAAGAAGAGGAATGTTGTTAGAAGTAGTATTAGCAGTATTATTATTATTATTAGTAGTATTAGTATTAGTATCATTATTTTTTATTCATTTTAAGAATAAATAAAAGAATAAATAAAAAGAGATCATTTTTTAAAGCAAAAACTAGTTCAGTCCAGTAGAAACTCTGTTGGGGACATTAGACTTTCAGTCTGCTTTCCTGACCAGACAAGTTGGGGACAAGTTAATGTTGAACCCTGACTTAACAAAATTTAGCATGTGACATAAGCTCTCATGACATCATAACATTATGGCATTTGTCATAACAATCACTGGTAATGGTCTCATGACAGTGTTACATAACTGAAGAAGATTATGACATGTTCATGGCATAATTATGTCTTGCTATGTTATGTAACAGTACTCAAGTAAAGTGTTACCAACATGTCACCCATCGCTTCAGACTACAAGCACAAGTACAATAGCAGCCCTTTGTCTCATGAGCTGCTATTTTCTGCATGTTTGCTAGGCGTGAAGTTGTGAATGGGAAGCTAGACGTACACTGCTATCTTGTCCTGCCTTAGTGTAGAAGTGGATGAGTTCCAGTGTAAATGTGGTTTGGACACGGTTTCACTCTAAGCCGGGGAGAGAGGAGGAAGCACGGTGGATCACTATAGACCGAGAGAATGGTGTATGTGTATGTATGTGTGCTGGTGTCTTTCACAGCCTTTTTTCCAGACTGTCCTTATATGATCTTAGACAACTGCATTATGTAGCAGTACATGGCAGTTTTCATTATGTGTCAGTATCGTACAGCCCTGTGTTTTTGAGTCTAAAAATTTGAGTATTTTTTTTGGAGCTTTACCAGCAACACCTATAGTATTGTGCAAAAGCCAGAAACCACCTATTATTTATTTAAATTTCTGTACAGTTATTAATTTTTCAGTAGATATATAAAAGTACACACTCATTATTTAGTTTGCCCACTCTTTACCTTTATTACAGCTTCCACTCTTTTCAGGAGACTCACTTTCAGTTCCTCAGTAAAATCTGCAGTGATATTTTTCCAAAGTTCAGTCTTAGAATTTGGTTACAATTTTTGCTTCTCACAATCCAAGTAATCCCAAACACATTCAGTGATGCTGAATTCTGAACTCTGGGGTGATCAGTCCATTGTTCTGAGAACACCAGCAGCTTCTTTTTGATTTATAAATCTTCTTTTTTTTTTTGTCTGTTTTCTTTTTTGAGTCCCATTTTCTCTGTATCTTTAACTCTTCATCTAATGCATTATATCTGTACATTTCAGTGCTTGTGGTGAAGCTCAGGTGCTTAAACCAAATTTAAATGTATTTCACTATAAACTAAATATATAGTTAATTATATAATTATTTACATTTGTAGTCACACATAAATAAGCAAATAATAACATCAGTTTGTGTCAGTATACTTCATGGGTCGGCAACATGCGGCTCTTTTACTGCCCTGTTGCGGCTCCAGAGCAGAATTAGATTTTAGGTAAAAATAAAATAATCCTTCTTTGCAGTAAAATAAAGCTCTGTTGATCGTTTTAACACAGTTTTAACAATAAATGGTCTTAAATGCTGGAGTTACTGAATAACTGCTAATTCACCCTTTAACCCTTAAGATTGGCGCACAGACTGCTGGTCTGTGTGACCCAGTAACCCAGACAACAATCTCACCTGGCTGCGAAAAAAGCGATTATAGCTAAGCTAAAGTTTAAAACAGAGCAAAGCAAGCCTGTTTTCATTCACATTAAATTTATTAGCCTATACTAACACTTTAGCATGTACTGAGACATGTTTACAGCCAAGATGGTAAAATTGACATAAAAGGCTGTGGCTCCCAAGGTGTTGGCTCTTCTTAACATTTGGGTTGCTGAGCCCTGGTCTAGTCAATATGCTGCAGTTTTTGAAGAAAGCTTCCCAATAGCATGCTTTAAGACACTACAGCTAAATTATGGCTTTAGGTAGTGAAACAACATGCCTCAGTGTTGGCCTCAGTGACTTTTGTAAATTATGCCGAATATTTGATCAGCAGCTTTTCCAGTATGTCCAGTTTTCTAAATGACATGCGTGCTTTTGGGGGCAGAATGCATCCTGCGTGCACAGAAGGCCTGCCCTAGCTCTGACTATATCAGACTGCTTGTGTGGTCAACAACACTAGCACTCTCAAGCCTAACCTTTCAACCAGCGACGGAAAACAACGGCTGCTGTTTCCAACGACTCTGACTATGTTATCATAGTAGGGGGGCTAGTTTCCTCCTCCTGTTAATACAGTCCAGGTAGAAGGTGATCCTGACCTCATTCCACACAGCTAGACCCTCAGATTATAAGCTTATGAAAACACCAGTGTTATGAAGGCCGTGTATCCTGTTTCAGATGTCGACACTGAAAAAAAAACCCGCTAGCGCTGGCTAACGCTGCCCACTAACCATCACAGGCAATTGGCTTGGCAGGTCGAGCAGATTGGCTTTATTGAATGGATAAATATTAGAGTTAGATTATCCTAATCTGCCTGGAGGAAACGCGCCAGCGCGTTAGTGTGCGCGAGGACGTTGGATGGAATTGCCGTAGAAAATGGAAGAAACCCACAGAAATGTGGGAAGGAGGGGTAGTGGGATAGAAGGGGGCGGTACAAGAGGTCCAATTCATAAGCCCACCCGCCTCAGGGCCCCAGCGCAGACTGATCCTCAAATCCCCCCTGATGGAGACAAGCAGGCACAGTCTGGGGACCTGCTGTTGGGACAGCAGGCTTTGGATAGGTGTTGGTTTGTGTGTGTGTGTTTGAGAGCATGTGTGGAGGATGTTCAGGAGCAGAATCTGAACTCATTCTGATCCTGAAGTTTAAACTGAAGAGAAAGTTCATCCAGTGGCAACGATACGCTTAGGCATCTTCTCCAATGAAACGGCTATATGGAATTCTGGAATTCTGGGAAACACTGCTGCTGTGTTCAAAGAAATAGTTTGGTGAAAAATCATATCTACAAAATTTCTCCCTGACCCCAAAGAAAACGATCAGCCAATTAATTTTACAAAATATTTACATGAGACAGACAAGCATGCCATATAATGATTTTAAAAAGACCCTTGGCTGTTCAGATATGTCATCATTTGATAGAAAATGTTGACAGATTTTAATGTTTTGGTGGATGTGACTAGTTTAAGAAAAAAAAGAATATTAAAAAAGGTACCATTTCAGATCTCAGTTGTTTTTAGAAATTGTTGGTGTCTTTGGGCTGTAAATACAGCTTTGATGATGGTTCATTCTCTGACTTATTACTGAGAAAAACGTAGATGATTGGAGTAAGGTGGCCATGCAGTCGTATGCAAAAGTTTTGGCGTCCTTGGTCAAATGATGTTTTTCTAACACATCCTCTACAGAGAACACACTCCTGCATATTTTAATGCACAATTACAGTTAATTTGCTCAATTTAACATATAAGAAAAAATGTACATTTATTTTATTAATTTTTCCCAATATGTTAAACCCAAGTCAATACAAATGGTAAACAGTGTCATATTTGAGTGTGTTCTCTGTAGAGGAAGTCTTAACCTCTTTCCTCACTAAGAAAATCAACAAAACATATAATACAATGTATTGCATATACATTTTTCTCTTGCTGGATCTATGCTGATTGCTCAAACTGTGACACTGAGCCAGAGAGGCCTTGAAATGTTTTGCTCAGCGCAGGATACAGTTTTGTCCAAATGTATTGGAACAGCAAGGCCAGTGTGTTTGTTTTTGCTATCCACTGAAGACATTTGGCAATTTAAAATCAATACATGAATATGAGGTCAGACTTTCAGCTTTTATTTCCTGATATTTTCATGTAGTTGTGTTAAACAACTTAGAATATGGCAGCTTTGTTGGCAGACCACCCAGTTTCTACGTAAGCAAAAGCATCAGAACAGACAGTCTTAAAGTAAATGCTCTTTATATTTGGTTGCATACTGAATGACAGGATTGGGGGAGTCCTAACTAATGGGTGGAACTGGAGACGACTAAATTGGGGAAAAATCCCCAAAAAATAAAATAAAAAATAGGCGTAGGTGTGTCTCATAGCTAAAAGCAATGATAGCAGATATCATGAAGCTTGAATTTGTCTGTACTTTTTGTCTGTATCTAGTGCTGCTGTTTGCTAACAATGTGCGTATTCTTTTCCAGCTGCCTGCGAGACCATGCCAGAGCCCATAGCTGAGCAGGAGGAGGAAGACCCCGCCTTGCAACAGGAGGCCACAGCCAAATTCATCAAGAAGAAGCAGCCCTCCAAGAAAGTTAAGAGCAAGACGGGTAAGCCACCATCCCACCATCTAACACGGCCTAACGCTTGGTGAAGTGAACTCAATCCCTTAAAGTCAGCACAGCTGTAGCCTCCAGGTTGGCCGCTTGTGCCTCTGTGGCTCGTTCCCCAGCTCTGGGGTACTGCGTTGCCCTCTGTGCTCAGGCATCCCGTGCTGGTCCATCTGGTTCTACTCTCCTCCCTCCTGGCCTGATTGGGCATAATAGCTGGCGAATTGCAATTTTTCCGGCCATTATCAAACCCGAGATTTTGCCGCGGTGCTCCAAATAGTTTTTTTAATCAAATGAATTAAAGCTGTGTGCTTTGTATCTGCAGAGGTTTAGGAGGGGCGAGGAGTTTGTGCTTTCCTGTGTGTGAACGTGAGAGCGAGAAAGAGGAAGGTATGTTCCTCAGGGATATAGAAGAGGATTATAATGCTCAGAGGAAATGCAGTGTTGTTTTTGTTGTTCTTTCTTCCATGTTATGTATGAGAATAGAGCAGTTCCGTGTGTTTATGTGGCTCCTCATGTAGCATGTGGAGCCACTGCTCAACGGTGATGTATTACAGTAATGTGATTACTTTTCTTGTAACAGTTTAAATTCATTTAATCACATTACAGTTACTGACTTGATAAGAACTGTGTTAATTGCGTTTCTTGTACATTTTTAAAACAACAAAATAAATTACTTACAAAACATTTAAATTGTAAACGATCTCTCTGTATATTATAGGTATATATGTAGGTAATTTGCGTGTGTGGTACCTGCATCAGCTAACTGACATTATACAACAGTTAGTTCCGGCCATGCAAGCTGATTGGTTGAGAAGCGTTCTAACTGTGCTGTTATTTCGCCATAACATCACGGTTTTTCACAAACACTGTATCACTCCACTGAGACGCCATTGCTAAGCAATGACTTTGACAGCTGTAGGAGACGCTCAAGCCATTTGAACATTTTTACTTCTTACTTTGCGCACAAACAGAAAATGGATAAGATTGCATTTGACCTACAGCCGATTTGGTCAGACTCTGATGATGAGACCACACTAAATTCCCAAACTGTCATCACCACTGAGCAGCTTTTCAGTCGGCAGCTGTGACAGAAGAACAGCTAAACAACCTGGAATCAGCCAGAAATGAACCGAATACCATTTGCCAAACTAAATGGGCTGTAAGATGCTTTACAGACTGGCTGGAACAAAACAACATTTAATATTGATCTAGCAAAAATTGACAAAACTGAGCTAAACTTGATATTGCGGCAGTTTTATGGCTCAGTCTGTACTTCAAAAGGCAAGGCTTACGGCAGACTGTGCAGCGAGTGAGCGGAGTTCGTTAATCTGACATAGCAACAAGCTGCTTGTTAAGGAACTATAATTTGGTGGAAGGAATTGCGAACATTAAAACACATTAAATGCCGCGTTCACGGCCCCGTTTATTTATTTATTACTTTATTTATTTAACTGTTGTATAAAAGCAATAGAACACTCGAGGAGTGTGTTATCGCAAATAACATCACAGCTGTGATGATCTATGGCGACCAAATCACAGCCGTGATGTTATTTCGCCATAACACACTCCCTCTCGTGTTCTGTTGCTTAAACAAGAAATTAGAAATTGTTCATTCTGTCCTGTTTTAAGAAGTTACTCTTGCATTTTGAAACCATAGCTATATCCTCGCGTTTGCTGACCACTGCTCCACTTTATTTAATAGAAATTTCACTAAACAGTCTGTGATTGTTTTGCATTTCATTCAAATGACCCTTATCTGTCATCTCTTGCCCAGACTGCTCTCACAGACTGGTAGGGAAGTGGGTTGGGTGGTTTATGATGCCACAACACATAAATAGCTTGTGCATGCCCACTAACCAATGATCATACCCCATCGAATCAACTATTTTGAGCATGCTTCTATGGTGGAAAGCGGCAAGAAAAGTTGCACTGCATCTTCTAAATGTGTTAAAACATCTATGCGCTGTATGCTGTTTTCATAAAATAGTAGATATGTGCTAATTTGCTGTGAATGTGGCTCTCCTGATTGTATGTCTGCTATGTACAGATACACCATATATCTTTTGCCCCATATTTTTTCTACTGTAGAGATGCGCTGTCAATTTTTTGTGAGAATGTTTTAAGCTTGATATCGCTTTCAGTCTTATCTTAGATTTTTTTTGTGCATTTGCCCCCATTAAACCCCAATAACATGTTTGTTTATACTGTTAGTTTATTCATATTCGGCTTCTTCACTTACTTTAGCCAACAAGCTAAAAAATTGAATGGAAAGAATGATGCCTTAAATAAAAATTACAGTTATTATGCTATTAATGGCATTACATTACAACAGTGTAGTAGTGCATTTCAGCAGTAAGGCCACTAACTCTCCCTGCTCTCTGCCACACTGTTGCGGCCCATTATCAAACGATTCACGGCCTGGTACCAGTCCATGGCCTGGTGGTTAGAAACCTCTGCTCTCCTGCCATGTTCAAAAAACAATTTTGGTTCATTCAAAGCATTCTTTACAGTTAAGAACTTCAAGGATTGCTTTAGTTTCAAAGATTGACAAATGTGGTTGCCACGAGTTCTGTAGAGTTTGGAAATGTGGAAAACACAGATGTGTGCGCATATGTGTGTGTGTGTGTGTACACGTTTGAACAGGCTCGATCCACATGCCTTAGTGTAGTTAATCCATCCAGGCGTTGCAGCTAACGAGCAGCACCGTGCTCAGGAGGTAGATGAGGGGGTGACATCGGATCATTAAGACTCTACACGCACATACTCACTCGAGCAGTGCCCCGAACCTCAGCATGTGTGTTCAGCAACCGTCAGCCGCCAAAGGAATCCAATTAAAGCAGCGAAAACAAAATAAAAAGAAAAACAAACATTCAAAACAAGTGCACTTCCTACGGTGAGGCCAATTAGAGGCAATGCCACACAGATCGCAAGCAGTGATGCAATCGCGCGTCCCTTTAATATGAACCAGGGCCCGCTCACAGAGGGATTTGGGCCAAATTTTAAATTTGATTACGCGTTCAGCAGACATGCTGGCTTCATTTTTCTCAAAAGGTAAAAGCAAATTCGCAAGATAAATAAATCCTTCTACCGGGATGGTGCAAAATCAAACATGGCTCCACTTGGGGCCGAATGGGTCCACTTAACGGAAGATTGGGTTTCAAACTGTCATGTATTGGAATTTATCAGCTGCATATCCAGTATCAGTGGATGAAAGATCTCCGAGGACTATTTAGGAGGACCTGAACAGCAGTGTACTGGGAATGTTCAGTGGTCATCCAGTTCATTCTGCTCTTATAGACTGCATTAAGACCCTTCAGTGGTGACCTTTGGTGGTGATGGTGGGGGGAGGTTTAAAACGTTAGGCCACCCAGCAAAAGTAGTTTCACAATGGGCCGTTTCCCCTGCCATTCACTTAAATGAGTTTTGTATGTGGCTTTGGAGCAAGTATTGAGGTGAACTACCTTGTTGGGCAAAGTATATATAGCTTTATTCATTTTGTTGGAACCTATTTGCATCTTAACCCCTTTGTGACCAGATTGTTCCCTGTGATTTCATGTACATTGATGTCCTACAAGTGACCTATAAATCTACAAAAGATCTTCGTACTAGTCTATTCTTACATTGAGCTGCTTAAAAAAAATGTTGGGTCAAAACAGCCCAAACTGTGGTCATTTCCATAACCCACTGTTGGGTCAAACTGACCCAGAATCACTGGGTTATAAGAGTTATGGTGCATTTACACTGCTCTGGCATGTTGACGGACATGAACTCATCCTCCCTCTTCAGTTGCCCACATGTGGGTGTTAAGAGGGAGTTCCGTGCAAAGTCAACATCAGTCATTTCATTACCGATTGTTTTCCCGCTTGGCCTTTTATTCTGTAGGTAAGCAGTTGTGTTTAAATACATCAGTTTTTGCTGCTGGTTCTCTGTGTTGCACGGAAACATTTGAAAAGCAGAACCAGTGTTTCATACCCTGAGCTGCAGACATGAATCATGCAAACACCAGCTGCCTCCTGATTGGGTACATGCCTCGCATTGGCTGGGTTCAAAAGTTCAGCTCCACTCAACTTTTTGACGCACCAGACCCATCATGCTCCTTGTGGCTGCATCTGACGGAACTGGCGCTTCCCATTGAAAATGACTGGGATTCGTTGGGCCATGCCAGAGCAGTGTAAATGCAGCGTAAATATATAAAATTATAGTTCCTTTGACTAAGCACTGGGTTATTTTTACATCTTTTGTTAGGTCGCAAGGCATTCTTATCTTTCTTAGCGTTACACTTTATTTTCTTAACAAGATCTACTACTTATTAGTAATATGAATCCTGAGCACAGAAGTACTACTTAAATCTTTTTTCATATTGAAGCTTCTTCTCAGCTTGTTACACATATTCTGGCATGCTAAACCTGTAAACAGAGGATGACAAAAATTTGAGAAAATAAAGTAAAATTGCAACAAAATATGACAAACATTTTGCATCCAAAAACAACTACTTATCCAAAGTAATGTACTTGGGATGTGCTTGAGAACTTGTGTACTTTGTGCCACTATTTGAACACTGAACTCAGCATTCAGGTATTTGTTACATTTCATTGCTTGAAGATGGAGAAAATATACAAACCAACAACTGAGTGAAATGGTTAGGCTGGTATTTGCGAATAAGCATGTTATACTTTGCTACTTTGAACCACGATTGCCTGAATGTGAGCATGTTGCCAAGGATGCGTTGTTAAGGACCGAGAAGGCAGAGAGAGGATCTATATCACTAAATAGACTAACTATTCTGGATGATGTCCAGAAAACGAATGTTAGCACATCATCTAAAAAAATGTGTAGAAAATAGCTTGTGTAGAAAACAGCAAGTCATCATCAGCAGCCTACACGATACTTGTTTGCTCTGTTAGCTTATTAGCTCTTCTGAAGAGGCAGCCTCTGTTAGTCATCTAACACAAATACCTAGAGATTTCTCCTGGCTGATTCTGATTGTTCAACATATG